ATGCCAGCATGGGGTTCATGGGGCGAGTGGTGAGCCAGGAGAGATGTGACACAGGCCGTATGGCTGAGGTCCCTCTCTGCTGGGGTGTCATTGGTTCCTCAGGGTCTTCATAGTTTTCTTCTACCAATTTTCTTGGACCCTTTATGAATATTTGAGTTTGTGTCTTTGCTTTAAGCAAAATAGAAGCAAGCCCACATTTTGTCATCAAACAATTCCCCTCTTGTCCAATACTCTGCAAACTCAGAGCCTAAAAGAGATGGAGAAAAAGCTAAGATAGGTGAGCGCCTTGAATTTCAAGTGGGAAAAAGCCATTGTGTTCTGGACACCTGGAGCAGTAAGGGAGATTACCAAGCTGGATCTTTCAGAGAATTTGAGGAAGAAAAACGGACCAGTAAGAACCAAAGTTACTCAGTCATATACAAGACCCAAAGCCAAGTCTGCTCCTTTTTTTTTTTTTGTGGTAGAATTATCATTCTGAGAGTTGAAGGTAATTGATATGGTGAATCTGTATTACAAAGAGCTATTTTGATAGTTCTTTTAGAACTTCTGTGGGCATGATAGAGGGGGGTAAATGCCTTATAGATAGATGGTTTATCGTTGGTTTGGGCAATAATGCCAAAGATGATCTAAAATGTCCTTGTCAACCTAGTGAGTGACTTCTAGAGCAGAGTGTATTCTTTCAGCCTTGGAAAAGTAATGACATCACCCAAGTTTCTTCTTTCCTACCTTCACCTGCCTGTATCAAACCTACCAGCTTTCTTCCCACCAGACCCATAGATGCCTATCCCATCTTACTGCAAATCCCTGTGGCCTCCCTGGTGATATGAGCCGTGATCACTGGACTCTTTTCCTCTGTCATTCAGTTGAGTCAAATATCTTATTTTTAACAGGCAGATTAAGAGGTGGCAAAAAATAGGAACAGTGTTTTATAAAGCAACACTTTCTTAGCCTGAGGAAGGCCAGGTTTGCTCATGCTTGGCTCATGTACTGCACTATATGTACATTTCCCTTTCCTTTCCCTCGTTATCTGGGTTGGGTGTTAGGGAAGCTTTGTGTTCATTTCCAGCTTGAAGAAGGGGCCCCTTGGTTAATTGCCATGCTGGGGCCCATACTCTGTGCTAGAACCCGCTCCCTCGTCTCAGCTCTGTAATAACACCTTCTGTCTCCAGGTTGTTTGGGATTCTTCTTTCTGGAATGTGCAACCTTCCTCTAGGAAATCTTCACCACGACTCTTAACACTTCTTGCCATTCTTGGCAGGCTTTGTAGCTCCAGGCCTTTGTGAGGTCTACTCTCACACTGATTTGGTTTGCTTTACCCACAGCAGAGTCATGGGCTGAGGTAAGGAGAGTTATCCTGGTATAAAACTTGGCTTCATCTAAGCCAGCAGGTGGGTTTTCACACTTTGTGGTTGCATTGACCCCCATCGTCTTCATGAGCCTTTCTGTCGCAGGGTAACTTCTGCCCCGACAGACTGTATCCTATTCACATGTGTGATACTTTTCTATAATAGCTTCCTTCAAATTGTACCACAGAGAGATCTTCTGGAGTCCCATCACCTCAATATCCCTGAAAAATAGTTGACATGTATTATATAACATATACCATGCATCAGCACCTCTTGTGTGCATACGTGTCTATGAATATGCATTTGGGGTGCATGTGTATGCTCACGGAGACCAGAGGACATCAAAGTGGTTCCTGGAGAATCATCTATGTTGATTTTTTGAGACAGGGTCTCTTCATCGGCTTGGAGTTTGCTGATTAGTTCAGACTGGCTGGTCAGTGAGCTCCAGAGATCCAGCTGTCCCTACCTCCCCAGGCTGGTCTTCCAAGCACATATCACCATGCTTGATTTTTACATGACTTCTGGGGATTGAACTGTTTCTCCTGCTTGCATGGCATATGCTTTGCTGACTGAGCTCTTACCTCAGCCCTGGAGAGATGCTTTTCAGATGTAGAGATGATATGAGATTGGGGATAGAAAACAAATGTTTTGGAAGCCAAATCCAGAGTCTGAAAGATTTCAGCAGCTGGGCATGACTCTCTGGGATGAGTCGGATAGAATTTAAAATACGATTCCTACCTAAAACAAAGATATCTTTAAGCTCAGGCCATGGATCCCTTCCTCAGTTCATGGTAGTTAGGGATGGAATTTGCGAGTTGGAGATTTTATTAGACTGGGAAAGAGCACCGTGGCTGGAGCGCAGTGGGGCTATTCATTCTCAGTCCTGCTAGAAGCAGTTACGTCCACACTAAAGTGAGCAACCCAAGCCCAAGGCGTGAGCCCTGCTGGACTGTGGCCCACAGCCTCAGTGATACATGCTTGACTAAAGTATTGATTCTGAGTTATTTAGATGGAATCCCTTCAGATGAGGCCCACTTCTCTAGCCTCTTGCATTCATGTTATAGTCCTAATTCTAAACTCTTTAGACCCCGTTTCACCCTGTTATGGCCGACACAGCCTGCAGCCTGGAAGACTATGCTTAAGAACCGTAAGATTAGCATGTGGAAGGGGATTTAGACTCAGGTCATACTGGGGATGTTTATGGGCTCTGTGCTTACTCTGATTACTAAGGATACAACATGCAGAAAGGAGAGCAGACTCCGTCCTCAAGGGTCCAGTTTAGTGTTGAGCGGAGGAGATACACAGAAATGGCTGTGACGTAATAACACACCCTCTATGGCTTACCAGAAGGCAGCAGTAAGGGGGAATTTCAGCCAACTGACACCAAATGAAACAGTCATCATGAGATATACAGACATGGTGTAGTAGGCTAGGGGAACAGAACAGTCACCTCCCTCCCCAAACTGTCCAAAGAAGACAGACCCTTCTTTCTAAAATGTGTGAGCCAGAACTTAATGTGAAACCCTACAGCTGCCGTGGACCTGGACAGTGTGGACGCTACAGCCTTCCTGGCAAACACTTCTCTCTTCCAGGAATTCTTTCCTCTGGGGAGTTAGGGATGAGTCAGTCAGGCCTTCCCTAAATCCATAAGAGTGGGCTAATGGACTAGGTCACCTGTCTATACCCTGGTCTCCGTTATGCCGAGGCAGAGGGGCAGGGTCTCATCACCTTTCTACGTTCTGATATCCATGATGCCAGAGTAGCAGAGGCAGAGGGTCTTAGCCTGACAGTTAATTTTACTTGGAGGCCTTTAACAATGCCACCACAAAGTTTATTGTGGTTATTACTTTGTGTGTTTGTTTGAGAAAAGGTCTCACGTAGTCTCAGCTGACCCTCTGCCTCCATCTCCCAAGTGCTAGGATTATAGGTGTGCACTGCTATGCTCAGCTTGCTATAAAACATTTCAAAGGGTTTTGTTGATTTTGCACACCATATAGCTACCCTACTAAGAGCATATAGTACAATGGTTTCTAATAAAGTTACAGACTTGTGTGGCCATTCCTAGCTAGTTAGGACATTTTCAGTAATCATTCCCATGTTTTTCCCAACTCAATTTGTCCCAGGCAACCAATCACTAAGTTACTTTCTATCAATTGACTTACTCTGCTCATTTTGTGTAAATCAAATTCTTCAGCACATGATCTTTTGTGCTTTTGTTCTTAAACTCACAGTAGCATATGAATACTTCATGCCTATTTTGCCAAATAGCCTTCCACTGTGTGAATATACTTCTTTGTTTATTCTGTAAGTCGATTGCCAAGTTGATTCTAATTACCGACTTTTGAGAATAAACAATGTTTCTAGAGGACAGTATACACAACCATTTTTTTTTTAAATATCTGCTTTTACTTGTTTTAGGAATACACCCAGGGTTTCTGAGTAATATGACCACTTTTTAGCTAATGTTTTTGTGTGGCTTCTAGGTATTTTTGAAGAAGCTGCTTCCTTTCACAGAGATGAAAGCACAGAAACTGATTCATCCCCAAGCCCACAGTGACTCTCAATATAATTCTGATATATTGTCAGTGTGGGCGAGAGTTTCTATGCTGGCTGGACTGGAAATAAAATCTCTGTAGAAACGATCCCAGGACTGTACCTGAAGGAGAGACTCTTTTCAGAGCAGAACATTCTGGCTTTGCAGGTTGTTCCTTTTGAGGCTCCACATTCCCCAGGCCTTACTTGTGGTCCCGAGTTACACCAAGCAATGCCTTTCCTAGGAGGTGGGTCATCCCAGAATGAAGGACAATTGTCCGGCACTCATTGATGGCCACAAAGAGTTAAGTTGGGGGTGGGAAGATGGCTCAGTCAGTGAAGTGGTTGTCATGCAAACATGAGGACCTCAGGTCAATTCCCCAGAACCCATGTAAAAAATCCAGGTGTGCTTGCAGTCTCGGCGCCGGGGAAGTGGAAACAGGGGGATACCTGGGGATCGCTGTGCAGTCAGCCTAGCTGAACTGGGGGACTCTTGGTTCAGTGAGAGACCCTCTCTCAAAAAATAAGTTGAAGAGAGACCAAGGAAGATACAATATGTCTATTCAGGTTCTCTAAAAGCACATTCACACACAATGCACATGCAACTGCACACACAGGAACACACAACACACACACACACACACACACACACTTAACTTGATCTGAAAAACCCATCAGCGGACTGAGTGGAGCCACAGACGTGCACGCCCCACCCCCTTCTGAGGACGTGACATCTCTTCTTGTAAATGTCATCACTTTTCTTGGTGCTATCTGGTAAGGACTGAGTCATGAGGTGCTGACAAAACCCCAGTGCGCTTCACATGAAGCCCCGAGGCATTCTGCTCATTCCTGAGATACTGCACTGCTGGCCTGCAGTAAACAAGCTGCCGGGATGAGCTCCTGCCACTGTGACTTTCCTTGGCTTGTCTGAATGAAGCACAGACCTAGACAGTTTGCCTCTGGGGGGGAATTCGGGGAGGAGTTGGCTGCAAGGTGGTGACGCTTCAAAGGAGTGGCCTCTGCTTTCACAGAGCTCTGTTCCAGAGTGACCTCATAGAAGAAGGTAAGACACAGCCTTTCCAAAAGGTGGCCCTGAACCAACTTCAATCTTTTTGTTTGCAGCCACGGCACAGGGTACGAGAGTGAGAATCACACAACCCCCATCCTCTGTGGTGCCCAGTATCGAATACACACCCATGGAGTCTTCCGAGGCATTCAGGTAGGATGCCCAACCAAAGGCCACCTTTCCTCCCTCTTCTTCTGCTCACCTGCCTTGCAGCCTCGGCAGATGGACCACCTGGCCCTGGCAAGTGTTTACCATCAGAGATGCACCTTTTCCACTGGGCTACCAAGGGACTCCCTCCCTCTGCCCTTGCAGAAATGCTTCCTTGCATGACTGCAACCAAGATACTTCCTGCAGACTTCCATCCTTTCCTCCTTTATTATTCGTTCTGCTTCTCCAGAGTGGGCGATCCATTTCTTGCATGTGGATCATTTGCATTTGAATTAGTGACCAGGACCCTTGATTTCTAAGATTTGATCTGTGTTGTAAGGTGCTCCAAGGTAGACAACCTTCCAAGTGTTGATACTAGCATCAACAACAGTACCGCTTATGGCTGGACATGTTCTATGAAGTGAGATTTAGACACAGACTTTAAAACATCAACTTTATCTAGCTTTTAGGTTTGTACAACATATGCACAGAAATCATAGTGCTCCAGTGTCCTCCTGCTATGACCTTCACAGAAGGTACTCTGGTAGACTACTCTTGTTACAGAAGGTACTCTGATAGGCTACTCTTGTTACAGAAGGTACTCTGGTAGGCTACTCTTGTTACAGAAGGTACTCTGGTAGGCTACTCTTGTTACAGAAGGTACTCTGGTAGGCTACTCTTGTTACAGAAGGTACTCTGGTAGCTACTCTTGTTACAGAAGGTACTCTGGTAGGCTACTCTTGTTACAGAAGGTACTCTGGTAGGCTACTCTTGTTACAGAAGGTACTCTGGTAGGCTACTCTTGTTACAGAAGGTACTCTGGTAGGCTACTCTTGTTACAGTGGGTGTAGGCGTGTTATTGGTAACTGAACTGTTTTGTTGTATAGTCCTATGGGTTTTGATATGCACATAATGCCACTTATTATGTTATTGTTATTATCATCATATGGAACAGTTTAATGTCTCAAAACTGCTCACATTCCACCACTGTGTGCATCATGCCATTCCCAGTCCCTCTCTCTCCCCAACCATCACTGCCCCTTTCTCAGAGTGTTGTATATGCCATTGCATTTTCAGGCTAGCTTCTTTGACTTAGCAAGATGATTTCAGATTCCCTTGCACATCCTTTGTTCTCTGATGTGGTCCCCGCTGCACTCCTAAGAGGTAGACACATTATAGTTGGGGAAACTGAAGAGGGAAGACAAGGGGTTTGTCTAAAACCACATAGCTAGTAAGTGGGTGCTGATATGTGTAATATACATTTTATTGAGCTCCACAATATTTATTTTGCTTATTAATATTGTTTATTAGTGGAAATTTAATAGTATTGTTTATTAGAAGAAACAGGAGGGAAAGGACTCAGGGTGAGCAGAGGATGTAGGTTATTCAGGGGAGATCCCACCCCCATCCCAGCTTCTTTTGGATAGTTAGAGCCCAGTTATCAAGAATTCACATTTGTGATCTACAAACCTGTCTAGGGACTGCCACAAGAGAAACAGCTAGTGTATCCTTCCAAGGGAAGTTAAAACCCTGAAAAAAAGCTGCATGAGGGCCAGTCCCCGTGTGACATGGACAAGGAGCTCCACTTCATGGAAGCCAGTGTGCTCTGGCATCCCAGCCTTTCCATGGTGAGAAAGAAGAAGCCACAGAAAGGTGGGGTTGTCACAGAGTTCCATCTGAGCATCTCGCAGTAGACATCATCGGCGTCCTTTGCCAGACCGCAGCCTGACAGTACCAGCTGCTCTTCAGTCTAAGGCCTACATAGTCTTCGTCTAGGGTGAGAAGAGACGGAAGAGGTTAATGTGCCTTCCTTCCCACCAGATTCAGTTATCAGAGCCACTCTCAGGGCCTTTAGTAGACTCCGCTCCCTATAGATGTTATTTCCCTACTTTTTTTCTTCTAGATTACACCAAACAAACCACAGCCTGCCATTTCCTTGTATACCACCACTTACTCGCATACCCCGGGAGAAAAACAAACGGTTGACATACTATGGCATTCCAATACCGTATTTACAGTACGATGCTACAGAACTTTTTCTCAGGGCAAGGCAAGGCGAGTGAATTAGGGACAAGAGTGTGAGTGTGTGTAGATTAGAAAACACACGGGAGAGGAAGTTGTTGAGCTCAGAGCAGTGGTTCTCAATCTGTGGGGCGTGATTCTTAGAGTTAATGTATCAGGTATTTACAATATGAATCATAACAGCAGCAAAATTATAGTTATGAAGTAGCAATGAAATAATTTTATAGTTGGGGGTAACCACAGCATGAGGAACTGTGTTTAAGGGTTGCAGCATTAGGAAGGTTGCGAGCCTCTGGCTTAGTGGTTGTTGCAGGTCTTTACACCAGCACAGGGGTGCTCCTATGCCAGCAATCCATCTCTTTGTTCCTGATGGCACAGCTGAAATTGGACAAGGAAGAATCACTCCTGCTATCCAGGAATCGCTGAGCTTGAGGGCAAGAGAGGAGATTTGCCTCCCCAGCTAGAAGGCAGGGACCAGTCGGTGTTGTGGGAAGGACAGGCAAAGGGCACAGAAGGCAGATGGCTTCCGGTGCTTGCCTGTGTCACTGCTAAAGAACACGCTGATTATGCTACAGGATTCTGATGGATTTAGAGGCCCCAGACCCAGAGACTGGTGTATCATCTATTTACTTGTAAAGCTCCAGTCAGGTTGGGTCTCCTCAGTGTCTCATGTCTTTCACTACTAACAACTTTCTCATCCATTTTCTTACTGAGGCCATAATTACATGGCCGAGCCTGCATCTGGGAGGGCATACATGCAGTCTGGGACTCTGGGATTCTAGATCTCGCTGTCCCAAGTGAGAGATGGATTGGGAGCTTTTCCAGACACTAATGTTTCTTCTCTAGAGGTCTGTACCAGGGACCCCAAAGAGACTTCATTTCAAATCAAAGTTCCGGTGCTAAACAGTAATACCATCAGAACACTGCATCATAGAATTTCCTAATCTATCATCCATTAGTGATGTCTGCCACAGGAACTAGAGGATGGAGGCAAATATTTTTTGGTCTCATATCATACCTACCTTCTCCTCCTTTGGTATATTTCAGTGCTCAGTTTCCTATGGCACTGGCATGAATGCTCACATGTGGTACGAGGTCTCCACATGTCTTACATTTTGCCTGCAGGATGTGCGACGTGTGTCTGGAGTGGCCCCAACTCTCGTCCGGTCAGCTTCGGAGACCAGTGAGAAACGCCCTTTCATGTGTGCTTACCCAGGCTGCAACAAGAGATATTTTAAGCTGTCCCACTTACAGATGCACAGCCGCAAGCACACTGGTAAGTGTGTCCACTGCCCAGACTCAAGCAGTGGTGGCGCATGAGCTCCCATCCTGGACTCTCACACTGCTAAGGACACAGGTGACTTGTGGGATGGAAGGCTGGCACCATCATAGGTCAGGCCATAGCAACCGGCCAAGGCTGCAGGATGGTTTGCATGCTCGTTCCCACCATAGCAAGTAAGCCATCTGCAGGGAAGTGGAACAGGGTGGTGTAAAGCAGTCGCCGTGGGAGAAAAGTGGCCCCATGTTTGAGCGTTGCATTCACCCACCAACTGGTGAGACCTTGGGCCGATTGCTCCACAATCCTTTACTCCTCACACCTTGTAGGACAATGAAGCTGGTAATGCCTACACTGTACAATTCTTAGGCCTAGAGGAAATGGGATCAAATTCTACTACAGGAGTTGTAGCATAGGCCTCTCTCTCTGTTTCTGAGCCTAAATTTAAAAAAAGTTAGTGTTCTTTCTGAGGGACTATTGGCATCTTAGCAGGGAAGATAAGCCAGGGATAGTACAATCAGATGGCCCAGAGATTGATGGACAAAGTTACTATAGACTCTGAATGGGAGGTCCAAATGCACACTTAGAGGTTCTAGAATTAATTCTGTGATATGAAGAAGGCCATTGAATCTCCAAGCAGGCTGTCCCACGGTCACTGTCACCTGACAAGCAGATTCGTTTGGCTCCCAGTTTGAGGGCACAGTTTATTACAGCAGGGACGGTACAGCGGTGGGAACATCTTTGGCTTTGACGATAGAAGAATGGGACTGCTTGTTCACATCTCTGGACCAAGAAACAGAGGGAGACAGGACCGAGGAGCCGGAAGTGTGCCAGGTTCTAAGCCTCAGGGGCCACACCCACTTTTTCCTGTAAGGCTTCTCTTTCTAAAGGTCCCACCATCTCTCAAAATGGCACTGTGAGCTTCTGACCAAGGGGCGAAATGCATGAGCTGTGGGGGTGTTTCATAAGATAGCATTGCAGAGCAAGTGGCGTTTGTGAGGGCGAATGCTTTGATGGGTAGGGATGGAGACATTAAGGTGAAGGGTGTTGAGTTAGGAGGGCTCAGGAGTGGTGAGGTCAGTTACAGGAGACACACAGAAAGGCCAGGGGAAGCATCAGCGGTCCTGAGCAGAAAAGGCGGCTTAGAGCTGCCCATCAAAGGACAGACTTTACTGACCTCCGAGTAGCTTGCTCTCTATCCCAGAATTCAGTGACTCAGAATTCCAGGAGGTGGGGACCCTTGTAGAAGCTCAGTGCACTCCAGGGGGGCTCTTCTCAGCATTTGGCTGAAGTTTTCCTTTGGCTACAGGGGATTGCACAATCCTTCTGCTGACTCCTTTCAGATGAAAGAAGAACAATCTTGCTAAATGCTTCGGCTCCTGGCTTAATTGAGTTGTCTCTCCAGCATGGAGTCATTTATGTTGGACCCAAGAACAAGAAGTCAGAAGCAGAGAACACCAGCTATTCAGGCTGTAAAACATGGAACACTTAATCCATGAGGCCAGCCCCAAGGCTCATCTACCCCAAATTCTATCTTAACTTTTTTTCTTTCTTTTTCTTTTCTTTTCTTTTTTACTTCTTTAAATAGTCGCTGCTAATATATGTATTTTCTGAGCATTGCCTCCGTGCTAGGCACCAGTCTTCCCTCTCCACACGGTCTGGTCTAATCTGTTCATGAACCCTTTGCAATTGTCAGATTACTGGCTCCATTTCACAGCAAGGGGACTGTGCCACACCCAACACCCTAAGTCCTGGAGCTTCCTTATTCTCTCCTCCTGTTGTCCATGGGCGTGTGTGTAGGTGGGGTTCTTACCTTCCTGGAAGTCTACAGCACTACCCTAACAAGCTCTCCGGAAGCACTTGGGCATCTGGGGATCCTTCATCTGCGTTCAGGAGGGTTTGCCAGTGATGGGGTCGAATTTCCAGCGTTGTACTCAGAAACAATATGTGTCTTCCCTAAGGTGAGAAACCATACCAGTGTGACTTCAAGGATTGTGAGAGAAGGTTTTCTCGCTCTGACCAGCTCAAAAGACACCAAAGGAGACACACAGGTTTGTGGGTTAACTTCTCATTGCCAGCACCCACAGGCTGTTGGGTTAGAGCTGACTTTGTAGCCGTCTTCTCTTGAACACGGATAAGAGAGTGATCTATATATCCATTTAATTCTTCCAACTTTCTTCTCCTCATGTGGAGATGGTGGCTTGGCAGTTGAGAACACTTATTCAAGAGGACTTGGGTTCAGTCCCCAGCTTCCATATCAGGCAGTGTCTGTAACCTCTGTAACCATAGCTCCGGGGAATCTGATGTTGTCTTCTGGACTTCAAGGGCACTGCGACACATGACATACACTCACACAGACACACACATCACATGAACAATAAAAAAAATAAGTCTTTCCTTACAAAGGAAAAAGCGAAAATAAAGGAAATGACTCACTTTTCTCATGAGAACACAGAACAAGGGAGATCCCACAGCAGGCTGGTGACCCGCTGAGGTTCAGTTAGGAGCTAGGGCGATGGAGAGAAGCCAGTGTACAGTGGTCCACTTTCCTCAGTCTATGACACTTGCCTGCCTGTGAGAGCCAGATGTTTGGGGTTCCCAAGTGAGGAGCAGCACCTGGAGGTTGCTGCACAGAACCAGGTGGCTTCTGCTGGGCCTGGGGCTCAAGGAAATGTGAGGTCCAGGTAGACACAGACCTGGACAATGGGATGGATATGCCAGGCTTCTCCAGCTGCCAGAAAGCCGGCTTTATGTGTGTCACAGTGCCTCGCATTGTTAGGGCCGAGGCTAGACCTTCTCTGTCCGTTTAGGTGTGAAACCATTCCAGTGTAAAACTTGTCAGCGCAAGTTTTCCCGGTCCGACCACCTGAAGACGCACACCAGGACTCATACAGGTAAAACAAGTGCGTAAACTTTTCTTCACATTTATTCTTCATTATTTTTTTTTAAGCTACTGTTGAGTGAAAGTGTAATGAGAGTCATGTAAAAATTCTAGAGCTGAATGGGAGTGTCTAGCTACCCCGACATGGTAAATGATGACATTTTCCAGAGAAAGGGTGGGAGAGCGCTGAGTAGGAAAGAGATGGGAAGAGAGTGTCCAGGGGTCAGAGCAAAGGCAGGGAGATACGTTGGTCCCCATCATGCCAATTTGCTGTATCACTCACTGATAGAACAGTCAACCCGCAGCATGATCAGAAATTCGAGATCCTCCGTTCTCCTGAGAGCTCACGTTTCACAGCCCTGATTAGAGCCCGCATTCTTGGCTTACTTAAAGTTCCATGAGAAGTCTAGGTTTTTGCTAGATTAACAGGAACTCATGGATGTATCTCCTTTATACTAGCACAGAAAGGAGAACGGGCCATGGACATAGCCACTGGCTGCTGAAACACTGCTTGGCCACAAGCTGCTGAGATTCCCAGTGACAATAGCTCTGCCCTTGTGACTCCTGTGCTTCCTTAGGAAGCAGAGCCATGTTATAGGTTAGCACATCATCTTTATAGCAGCTTGGAAGAAGAGTAGGGTAGGTGCTTTTAACCTTCATTTAACAGCTGAGTCTATGATGGATAGCGATGAAATGATTTGCCCAGAGCCACTAGCAACTGGATAGCAACGTCAGTGGTGACTGTTCTGCCTCACCTCATCCCTATTGTTCTTTCTCCTGGATAAAGAACACGTGTTCAAATAGTCATGCTCAAAAACCAGGGAACTGAGGAGAGAGGGCCAGAATAGCCAAGCTGGTGTCACTGAGGGAACCAGTATGAGAAAGAGTTAAAAAGTGCCCATGAGAAGGTGGGGGTGGCAGGCAGGAACCAGAGCAGGAAAAGCAGATGGACGCTGAGTAGGAGGCCAGAAGGCCTTGCAAGTTTCTGGGGGAGCTTCCGGTCCCCAACACAGACAGCTCGTACCTTCAGATACCGTCAGAGCACCTGGGCCCCCGTCTTGTTCTCCTTCTTTGGGTCTTCTTGGCAAATTGTCTTTTAGTTCCGTGGTAATAGTCTGGAGATTGCCCCAGCACAACTCATTGCCTGCAAACCTGTGCCACCAACAAACCACTTGATGCCATTGATCAGTTACCCAGTCTAACCCCCAAGCACCACATCTCTTGGGACATTTCTCAGTGGGACTCTCAACACCCCAGGAAGATCCTCCAGGTGGCACAGGGCTTAGCAAGTCCTGGGGTGGACAGGGGGAAGGCACAGGGATGAATGTAGGCTTCAGGATTAGATATGCCTGGGTTTGAACCCTGCCTGAATGTGTCCACAACAGTCATGCAACCTAATCAGTAGAGTGAAGATAAAATTTCTTTGTGAGGCTGTTTTGAGAAACATACAAGGCAATGAACATACATCTAAAAGTGATGCTTGTATGTTAGGCATTACATAGAAGCTATTATCTCTAATGAGAAAGGGGGCTCCTGAAATGGAACAGTCTCCACCATTTGAAGGAACCAATGTTGTTGCTAGACTCTCCCCTCTAACGCAGCTAGGTTCTGAGTCATCCTCTCTATTAAACATAATCAAATAGGATATAAATGGTGTCCATGCTTTATTTTAAATCATCTACATAGAGAGAGTAAAGCTTCAATCCCAGATCTATTGCTGACCAGCTGTCAATCAATAGTATCGAAGGTAGCAGTCCAGGGCAGCCATCAATCAACAGTATCCAGGGTTCAGACCCTTGCGGCTTAGGTCCTACCTAGACAGCAAAAGGAGAACATTTGCACAGGTCACAGAGTATCCTAAGAGATGAGACAGAGGTTTCCTAAACCTCCTTAATGTATGAGTTGTTTTTCTCTCATTTGCCAAGTTTTCCGTTTTAATATGTTTATAGTGCTTCTGGTTTTCAAGCCCTGGAAAGGTTTTGCTAACCCTAGGCTGCCAGTTGGTTAGCTTAGGGAGTGACCCAGGGGAGTCCAGGGCGGGTATCTGGTGGTGATTTAGCTCGGGGCCTTTGATAGTTGAACCTGTGTCTAGTCACTCTGCTGCAAGCGTCTCTAACTGGCAATTGTGTCAACAGGTGAAAAGCCCTTCAGCTGTCGGTGGCACAGTTGTCAGAAAAAGTTCGCGCGGTCAGACGAATTAGTCCGCCATCACAACATGCACCAGAGAAACATGACCAAACTCCAGCTGGCGCTTTGAGGGGTCCGACCGGGGGACAGCTCGGCATCCCAGGCAGGACAGTGTGCAAACTGCTTCCAAACCCGATTTCGAAATTCCTCCCCACTCATCTACAGAGTGATTTGACGGTGGGTCGTCATCCAACTTCCAAGACTGCACATGTGTTTGGCCACACCCTATCAGGTCTGCTGGGAGGAGTCTGTGCTCCACCTCCTTTTGGCTAACTCACAGGCCTGAAAAGTGGCTCGAGATGTCTTGCTGGTTGAAAGAGCATTGCCGTTTCAGCCGAACTTTCCACTGTTAGAAGATACATTGTTGCTAATGTCCCCCTACCTCCCTCGTCTCCTTCAATTGTTCCATTTTCCATCAGGGGATATTTATAGGCCAGGGCATGGTGTGTGTGTCTGCTAATGTAAACTTTGTCATGGTTCCCATTTACTAACAGCCCTAGAAAGAAATAAATCAGAGAGCAAAGCACCAGGGGCGAGTCCCGCCCAGAATTTCAGAGGTCAGGCTGCAAACCCGGAATCCTGGAAGGCAGGAATTCTTGTAAAGCTCATAGGTTTTAGGATTAGAATTAACCGGAACCTCTGCATAGAAACCTGAAGGAACCTTCCTGTTCAGCTAGTCATTGCTAACATTAGCACCGTGCTCTTAAGAAATAATGTTTAAAGAGCAGAGATTTTAAAAAATGTTTTGATTTATTTTTTAGCTGTAATTAGGTACATCTTCAGAGATGTACTTTCCTTTTCATGCAAAGGAAATGGAAGAATTCATTTTCATCATCTGGGGTCTCTTTAGAATGTAAAGACCACACTGGCTATGTGGCTTCGAGTTGTAAAAATTAAAATGACTTTAAGAGAAACTAGGGGCTGGTCCAGGATCTTCACTGGTAAGACTGTTCTTAAGTAACTTAAGTATCTTTGACTCTGAAAGTATGTGGGGGAAACAAAAAGATATATTATTGTGAGGAAATCCATTGTTTAAAGGTGTGTGTGTGTGTTGTTGTTGTTTTTTAAAGGGAGGGAGTTTATTATTTACTGTTGCTTGAAATACTGTGTAAATATATATGTATATATGATGTGCTCTTTGTCAACTAAAATTAGGAGGTGTATGGATATTAGATTCATCACTGTGTAGATGTCAATCTTACAGTGTATTGATAATAATACTAAAAATGTAACCTGCATTTTTTTTCACTTGGCTGTCAATTAAAGTCTATTCAAAAAGAAAATGCAGGAGTCTGGTGGTTGTATCGTGTTTGAATCTCAAAGCCAGTTGAACATCTTTTAAATAGGTAATCATGCCATCAACATGGCGTGGTCCATCCAGACCCCTGACCACAGCCAACTTCTTTCTGTTGGGCTTTGGGAATGACCTATCTTCAGAGTAGCAGGGGGTCACCTTCACCCTGCACCATGAAGAGATTGCCCTTGTGGGATGGTTGGGTGGCTTTCTCATGCTCTGGTGGGTACTGTGCTTCAAGGCTTATTTCAATCAAATCCTCACTGCATCGTATCCAGACTAACAGAAGAGAATATCGAGGCTCCACTGATTTCTAGCCTTTCTGAAAAGCTCACTGATACCTTCCCAGGATCAGGAGGGAAGAAAACACCTAACACAACTGAGCTGATAGTGGAAGTTGCCATAATTCACCTGAGCAGGCGGGAAACTGCTTAGACTCCCCAGGGCAGCTGAATGTGAAGGCAGAGCCACACTCTCTGTGACCTGGAAGCCCTCTTTGGTTTTGGTGGATGGTTTTCCATCGGTTAGCATGTGGATTTGTTCAGTCTCTCTCAGCTCCTTTATCTTAGAGCATGCATGCATTCCACTTCTTCCTTTAGAAGGATCTTGAGCACAAAGGAGCTTAGCTGCAGAGAGTCTCTGCAGCTCCAAGTCAGGACAGCCTAAAAGCAGGGTCTGGAGCTCCTCTTCTTCTGCATCTGTCTCTCGCATCATCGTTAACTTTAGCGAGTGCGGTGATTCATATGTATTAGTTGTTGTTATCTTTTCCTGCCAGAAGACAGCATCTCTCTGGAGAAGCTCAGGACAAGCACGGCAGACATCAGTGAGTCAGAGAGCGCATTTCACAGTAAAGGTTCAACCACATTGTTCCCACTGCTCAGGGCAGGCCAGAGATTCAATGACTACATAGCAATCTGGGTTTGATTCCTATGCCTGCAAGTGTTGTTCTGTATTTTTATTTATGAGAAAGCAATAGCCCTTTCCTGACATGAGCCTGAGACAAATGGAAACACAGTCTAGCATATAAAAAGGCTTACAAGGATTTCCCAGGACTCTGGACCACAAACTCACCTGTTGGTTTCCTCCATCTCCCGTTCTTTGCTTGCAGTGTCTGGGCATGCTCAGAGGTCAACCCTGCAGGATGACAAAATGTCCCTTCCCCTTACCTTGAACCACAGCGATGATTTGCGACAACTGGGCTTCTCGCCAACAGCTCCACAAAGACCACAGCTGCTGGTTTTGTGTCCTTTGCAAAGCTGCTGCTGACACTGTGTTTCTGAGACCCGCAGTGGTGACATTCTGCAGGCTATCAGGAGGCAGCTGACGGGTGCCGGGCAGTGGATGCTCCCTGTGGTCGGGTCTGGACGACGGTCAAAGTGCACATTTTTCCATCTTGTTTTCCTCCAGTGCCTGACTCCACATGTCCAGTCCCCTCTGCCCTCTTGGCTGGATCCTCCAACACTATTCCAAGTGTCCCAAGCTCCCTCATCTCTGAATTCCTCAGCATTCAGAGTATGTATCATTAACCAGCGGCTTGTGGCATTGTGATACTTTCCCATATTCTGTTTTGGTCTGTAGGGTGATCCAGTAAGGTAGACAGGAAACATATCCCCATTTTATAGATGAAGACGTTGCGTCTCAGTGACCGTGAATAGCTGAGGAATGACTTCGTCTCGGCTGTTAATATCCATTTCCCACCAGAACATGTTGGTGATGATAACTCGCCTTCTGCCCCCATTGTTTCGTGTCTTTGGTTGTATTTTCCCAATCAGGATGTGAACTTCTAAATGGGCGCTCTTCCCCCTTCCCTGTATTACTCGTGGGATGGACTCCCAACTTTAACATTCATAGAAACCCCCTAAAGAGTTTGCTGAGGTACAGGCTGTGTCGTAGAAGCTCCAGAAGACAGCCTGAGCATCTGCATTCTGGCTATGTCCCAGATGGCCCCTACCATGGAGAGCCGTGGACAGCACATATGTAACAAGGACCGGAAAAGCAGGCTCCCGAAACATTTATTGAAAGGGACCTAAACTTGACTGGCGAGACTTACACTTGGCAATACTAAGATGCCCTGAGCCATAATAACCCTTGAGAATGGTCACAGTAATGGCCCACAGTTCTGTTTTGGCAGTCCATGGGACTGAGGGTCAGAAGGAGAGGAACTGTGCCTGGTAGCCCAGGAAACACCTCCCACAAGGAGGTTTCTTTTCAGACCATCTCATCTAGTCGACAGTCCCAACGTCTTCCACATTCACCCAGAACTGGCAAGTCAGGTCTGTCACAGCAATAGCCAGCTCCCTGGCACCAACCTCTGTATTGGTCACTTTTCTATTGCTGTGATAAAACATGTTGACCAAGGCAACTTATGAAAGAAAGCGTTGGGTGGACCACTCCTGGCTCCAAGAAGGAAGCATGGTCCGGTCTGGCACCATGATGGACTGGGAGGAACAAGGAGACCCATACGCAGGCTGCCACAGGCTCTGAGGAGAAAACATGGCTGGCTTGGTACCTTGTGGTGCTGAGTAGATGGATACTCTTATGGTGAGCAAATGTGTGGGGTAGCAAAGGAGAGAAGACAAAATGGTTCGTGTCCCGTGGACAGGGGCAGATCTGAAGAGGTGAAAGCGGCGAGGAACGTGCTGAGGTGGGTGGCTTCATTGCCATACAGGGCCATGGTGGTGTATGGGTCTGGGTTGCTTCTGGGGCCCACGTCCGAGTTCATGGCCCTGCTGCAGTCATGGTCTGTGTTGATGTCCATGGCTCCTGATACCACTAAAGGCTGAGAGGTTAGGACTATAGAGAGAGCTGTTGGGCACTTGCTGGCTGCAGCACTAGGGAGAGTTGGTCCTGCCCCTCGCAGACTGAAGCACTCAGTAGAGAGGGTCCTACACCTCTGGGCAGCACGACAGAGCTGACCCTGTCCGCAGGGGCGTGGCCAAGCAGGCCCTGATGAGAATGAGAGAGCAGTTATGCCTCTCTCGTCAGCAGTGTGGTGGCATGGATGAGGGAAAGATGCCCTTCTTCCCTTGGCTCTGGACACCTGCAGCAGGCAGGGGACCCGACCCAACCCCTTACCAGATGTGGCACTCGGGAGAATGGGCTCTAAGCCTCGCCTGGCCAGTACAGTAGAGTTGACCCTGTAGACTGGGGAACTGATGAGCCAGCCCTGAGGGCATGAGAGGGGCATGGTACCACCTCCCTTATTTGCAGAGTAGTGGTGGGGACAAGGGAAATATGCCCTCTTCTGTAATCCCTATTGCCTTCAGCTGGCGAGGGAGCTGACCTTCCCCTTTACCAGCTACAAAACTTGGGAACGTGGGCCTCGTACCTCATCTGTACAACACAGCAGAGCTGAACCTGTTGATGGGGTGAGGAATTGGGGATGTGGCGTATGGGGGTGGGTGGGGTGGGGTGTGTATGCAGGTGAGCTGGTCAGAGAATGTGAGCATGGGAGTTCTGGCCCTACTCCTCATCTGCCATGTGGTGGTGTGGGTGGAGGAGAGATACCCTCCCCTCCCCTTGTTCCTTGTCACCTGTGACAGGTGGGAGAGCAGTCCCTGAGGTCATAAGAGGTCTCTGCCCCTTACCAGCTGAGGCACTTGGGAGAGTGGCCCCTGCACCTCACCTGGACAACACAGTAGAGCTGGCCCTGGTGGTATAGGTGTGGGAGAGCTGACTCTGAGGATGTGAAAACAGGAGAACTGGCCCCGCCCTTGCTCATTGCTGCAAGGGCTGAACTAGCAGGGGCGATGCTGGAGAGTTCACCCTGGTGGTGAGGACTGGGAAGAACGGAAGGGCTGACCAACCCTGCAACTACCCAGGTCTAAAACCAGGGTTATGAGTTGACCTAACCCAATATTCACCCCATCTATGATCTCTGGGAGCACATGAAGTGGCTAGTCCTGCAGATCCAAAGGTGCAGGATCTCCATGACAACAGGGCAATAACAGGATATCCTAAAGGAGTCCCAGTGAGGGCCCAGCATAGATAGTGTAGCAGAAACCAGAGGCCTCGAACCAGAATGACTCTTTGCAATGAACACTTACAATTTAAGATATAAGGACAAAAGGGGGGAAAGAGAAAGTGTTTAACTGGACCTACAGTCTTAGTTAGGGTTTCTATTGCTGCAATGAAACACCATTACCAAAAACAATTTGAGAAGAAAAGGGTTTATTTGGCTTACACTTCCATCATCAAAGGAAGTCAGGACAGGAACTCAAACAGGGTAGGAACCTGAAGGCAGGAGCTGAAGCAGAGGCCATAGAGGAGGGCTGCTTACTGGCTTGCTCCCCATAGCTTGCTAGCTCAGTTTTCTTTTTTTGTTTGTTTTGAATTTATTTATTATATATAATGCTTTGTCTGCATGTCTGCTTGAAGACCAGAAGAGGGCACCAGATCTCATTACAGATGGTTGTGAGCCAACATGTGGTTGCTGGGAATTGAACTCAGGACCTCTGGAAGAGCAGGCAGTGATCTTAAACACTGAACCATTTCTACAGCACCCCCCACCCCATGTTTTTGTTCTTTTCAAGACATGGTTTCTCTGTGTAGACCCAGCTGTCCTGGAACTCACTTCGTAGATCAGATTGACCCCCAAACTCACAGAGATCTGCCTGCCTCTGCCTCCTGAGTGCTGGGATTATAGGCATGTACCACCATTGCCCGGCCATCAGCCCACTTTCTTATAGAACCCAGGATTACCAGCCCAGTGATGGTACCACCCACAATGGATAGAACACTCCCCCATAAATAGTTAATTAAGAAAACACCTTACAGCGGGATCTCATGGGGGCATTTTCTCAATTAAGGTTCTGTCGTTCAGATAGCGTTAGCTTGTGTGTCAAGGTGACATAAGACTAGCCGGCACAAGGGCTTTCAAACAGGTCGTGGCTTTGCTTCTCTAGGAGCTTATTAGCCACGCCTTGTGTGATCATGACAAAGGTGAACTGGTGGACTGACACCAGAG